TATCCTATAGGTAAATAAATAAATGTTATTAGAGCTCCTCTTTATATTAAAATTAAAAGTAATAATTTAAATTATAAGTACCAAATATTAGCTCATGTGAGAAAGTAAAGTAATCTATAGTCTATATACATATATAGTCAATCAATCAAACGTGTTAAAATTATGATGATCACAGTCAAAATTATATGGTGGGTTCATATTAAATATAATTTATACAATATAGTATATTAAAGTCAAAATATTTTTAACCAATATATAGATTGTTTGAAATTTTTTGCGTATATAAACTATATTATCTAGGAATAGTGATGTGCACACTTAGCTATGGCCTAATAATCTTAATAACGACTTGCTCTTCAATATCATGATTAATTAACGTATCTTAGCATTACACTAAAAACACAATACAAATTTAGAAAACTATAAAATAAACACCTTCAAAAGTTTTAAAAATTATAAAAAACACCCTAAAATTTTGTAATTTATAAATGCACAAAACTATTAAACATTACATTGAAATCAAGGAATTACAGAAAAATCATTGAGAAATTTCAAACTTTGGAGGGGTAATTTACAATGTACTAAACTTTAAAGGTTTTTTTTGTAAATTTTAAATTTAATAAATTTTTAATTAGTTATGTTTTTTTCAAAAAAGTTATGGGTAATATTGACTATGAAAAGTTTTTCCTAAACCTATACTTTTAAAGGGTGTATGACATTTTTTGCAAAATTTTAATTTTCTAAGGGGTTATAAGTAATTTTGCATATTCATTTTCGTGTCTATAGGTTAGAAATTCTCATGGTGTTTTTTTATAAATTATAAATTTTAGGGGCTTTTTATAAATTTTTAAACTTATAGGCATTTTCTACATATTGTAAATTATTTATAGACTATTTATAATTCTTATGCTTTCAATCTACTAATGAGTTTGAAATTCTCAGGGTGTTTTTTTTATAAATTTTGAATTTTAAAGGTTTGTTTGTAATTTTTGAAACTTTAAGAGTGTTTTCCTATAAATTATAAATTATGTATGGGATATTTATAATTCCTATATTTTTAATGTACTGTTACGTTGGAAATTATCAGGATTTTTATAAATTTTATAATTTATAAAATGTTCAGAGTTGTATTACAAATTCCATAAATTTTTTAGGGTTGTTTGTGTTATTTGTAGGTTTTTAGTGTTTTTTTATAAATTTTAAATTTTAAAGGTTTGTTTGTAATTTTTGAAACTTTAAGAGTGTTTTCCTATAAATTATAAATTATGTATGGGATATTTATAATTCCTATATTTTTAATATACTGTTACGTTGGAAATTATCAGGATTTTTATAAATTTTACAATTTATAAAATGTTCAGAGTGTGTATTACAAATTCCATAAATTTTTTAGGGTTGTTTGTGTTATTTGTAGGTTTTTAGTGTGTTTATAGGTTTAAAATTTTTAAGGTGTTTCACATAAATTTTGAATTTTTAGGGTGTTGTTGTAATTTTCAAAACTTACAAGACATTTCCTCTGAAGTCCAAATTTTTTTAGTTTCTAGCTAGCATATATTTTTTAGATTTCTCGCTGAATTGAAATAAGTAAAATTTATAATTTTAAAGATGCTTTAATAAAATTTTGAATTTGTAGGGGTGTTTTTACAATTTAAAAAACTTGGAGAATATTTTTTACAAAGTCTAAAAATTTTTAGGTGGTGGCTAGCATATGTTTTTTAGATTTCTCTACGAACTGAAATAAGTAAATAATTTGAATTATAGAAAACGTATCTTTTTTATCCAATAACATGTTAAGTCTCATTATGAATGAGATAATCATTTAGTTACCAATTCAAAGAAGATATGATAATTAGAATATATTATGATAATAATATAATATTTAAAAAAGCTATGGGTAAGATTGATCATAGAAAGATTTTTTCGAACTCGTACTTTTAAAGCTCTCATGGTGTTTTTTTGTAAATTATGAATTTTAGGGGTTTTTATAAAATTTTAAACTTATAGGCATTTTCTACAAATTGTAAATTTTTTATAGACTATTTATAATTTCTATGCTTTCAATTTACTAATAAGTTTAAAATTCTCAGGGTTTTTTATAAGTTTTAAATTTTAAAGGTTTGTTTATAATTTTTAAAACTTTAAGGGTATTTTTTTATGAATTATAAATTATGTAGGGGATATTTATAATTCCTATATTTTAATGTACTGTTATGTTAGAAATTATTAGGATTTTTGTAAATTTAATAATTTTGAGGGTTTTATTTTGTAATTTGTAAAAGGTTTAGAGTGTGTATTGCAAGTTTCATAAATTTTCGGTGGTTGTTTGTGTTATTTGTAGGTTTTTAGTGTGTTTATAGGTTTGAAATTTTCTAGGTGTATTATTATAATTTTTGAAATTTTAGGTGTGTTTTTGTAATTTTTAAAACTTACAAGATATTTACTCCAAAATCAAAAAAACTTTCAGTTTCTAGCTCGCATATATTTTTCAGATTTCTCACTGAATTAAAATAAATAAAATTTATAATTTTCAAGATGCTTTAATAAAATTTTAAATTTGTAGGAGTATTTTTTCAATTTAAAAACTTAGAGATTATTTTTTACAAAGTCCAAAAACTTTTAGGTGCTGGCTAGCATTTGTTTTTTAGATTTATCTGCAAATTAAAATAAGTGAATAATTTGAATAATATGAAACGTATCTCTTTTATCCAATAACATGTTAAGTCTCATTATGAATGATATAAATCATTTAGCTACTAATTCAAAAAAAAATAGGATAATTAAAATGGATTAGGATAATAATGTAATATTAAAAAAAGTTAACGGTAATATTGACCATAGAAAGATTTTTCCGAACTTGTGCTTTTAAAGGGAGTATGATGATTATATTTCAAGTAAATTGTTTTTTCTATTAACGTTTTCTCATTCTTCCCATATTATAGAATAATATAACAAATACAATAAATAGGCTTTAATTAAATTATATAGGGTTCATCATCATCTATTTGGATAAAAATAGATATTTTAAGAGAAAAGGAAAATAGGTAAAAAAAATCAGGCAAAAATATATAGGGCAATTGCATACTAGTCCCTTAAATCTTCTTTAATTGCCAAAAAGTCCCTCAAATCTCGGTATTTGTCAATAATCCCTTAAATCTTTAATTTTCTTGTCAAAACGTCCCTCTGGTTAATAATTAGGATGAATTTCTATTAACTATAATCGAAATACATAGATTTTCCATTATATCCCCCACTCATACTTAATGTTATTCTTTAGATCTCAATAACTCATTTGATAGTGGGTTTATACCTGAAAGTCACAACCCAAAAACCAGTAACTAGTGGCACAGCTAGGAATTGGAGCTTGAGGGTTCACCATTATTTATTCTCTAAAAAATTACTAAAGTTTGCGTAAACAATTATATCAATAATCATCTACTCCTCTATACTTACAGGAGGATCCAAAGATTCACTATTCATACTGCAGTAAAAATACTACATTAAATCACTGTAGCATCTATTACTGAAACAATATCACTATAGCACAAAACAGATATTGTAGTATTTTAAAAAATGCTATAGCATTTTACAAAAAAATACTGCAACATTTAAAAACAAGAATTACTGCAGCATAAATAAAAAACCCTGCTTCGCATGGGGTGCACACTAGTGTTCAATAATATCAAGATTTTCTTGAGACAAAGGTTTGGATCTCATATTCAAAAATCTGAAACCAGATATTAAATATAAAATGATTGTTTACCAAAAAAGTACGTCCTACTTCAAAAGTGCAGTTAGAATTTAGGGTGGCACTACAGGCACACCTCCAGGCACACCTTGTGCCACACCCCCTCTCTCAGCTACAGTGCACGGGGCTCACACATGGGATTAAAAAATCTCATGTGTGTGTCCCGTGCACTGTAGCTGAGAGAGGGGGTGTGGCACAAGGTGTCCCTGTACCATTTTCCTAGAATTTATACACCTATCTCTAGAGAAATAATGACATCAAGCTTGAAAATGACATTTAGAGACTAACCGGACGATTTCACATTTTTCTGTAACTAGTCGTGAACACCGTGCAAAGCACAACATATCATTTTTTCTCGTTATAGTAATCCCGATTTTTAAAATGCTACAGTATTTTTTTAAAAAATTGGACTGCTACAGTTCCCGCCTATGCTACAGTTTTTTTTAAAAAAAGCTATAGTATTCCTGTGTTCTACACTAATATTTTTTAAAAAAAATACTATAGTATCTTGTTTCATGTTTGCTACAGTAAATGTTACCGTAACATTTTTAGTGTAGCATGAATAGTGAATCATGGGTTCTCCCATTTGTATAAAGGAGTAGATTGTTACATCATTGATCATTGTTGATATTATCAAAAACATCATAATCGATATATGTTACTGTTATAATTCATGTCATGTTGATTACATGGTTTATAAATTGAATTCGTTGACCATCAGCAAAGAAATTAATTTCATTTTATGACACAGTTTATAATCTCTTGTGAACTGTCTCCGTTCTTATGAATGTTGCTAGTGAGATTGATGCACAAACAATGGTATGTAGAGGATTTTGTTTATTTTGGACTAAATTAGTTAATAATTAAGAAGACATTATTGTCAGTCAAGATCGTCAGATGAATTATTAAGCTCATTATAGATATTTCCTATTGCTACAAGTCTAGAGGCTATATAATCACCTAATTTCCCCAATATATCCATTCCTCTTCATCTCCTCTGACATTCAAGGGGATTTGGGAAAAGTTTTCATCTTCGGTTAAGTGTTTAACCAAGTTAGAGTTAGCAAATTTAACAGATTTCCTACCAGAAGAATGTTTTGGCAAAAAAATTTGAAGATTTGAGGGACTTTTTAGCAAATAATGAGACTCTAGGGACGTTTTGGCAATTAAAGATGATGTAAGGGAAGTAAGATGCAATTACCCCAAAATATATGTGCAACTCGGGTCGGGTAAGCGGATAAAAGCAACCGCTGCCTAGCGTCAATATTCAGCGATTCCTCTTCTACAGCGACCAAATTAAGATCTTTCCCTTTTCCCCTCGATAATGTCTTCTTCTTCTTCTGACGATGACGAAGGAGAGTACGTCCCCATCACGCGTACCGGCCGGAGTTCCGAGAGACGATGGATTACTTTCGCGCTGTTTACATCGCCGACGAGCGCAGCCATCGGTCTCTTAGCCTCACCACCGAGGTTATTCATCTCAACGCCGGCAACTACACTGTTAGTACTTAAAAATCCTTTCTTTTTTGTTTTCTTTGCCAAAACTTTGATGGTTTCTTCCTTTTTGAATTGGAAAAAGTGTTTCTTTTGGAAGTTTTATTGATTGCTTGTTTATATTGGATAAGAATATAAGATCTGGACATCAGTCCGTAATAATGAGAAGACGCAGGCTAAATTTTGAGATGGTTAACTATGCTAAGCAGTAGAAAAAATCAGTACGCAGATTCTAGTCTGGGATTCCCCCCCCTAGCTTCTGGTTCACCGCTCACTACATATTATCAGCACTTAAAAATGTCATTTTGATCTTCGATTAAAAGCTGAAAGGGCTCTATGTTGGATCGTGCATAGGATCTGGAATAAGTGATGGCAGTCTGGTTATTTTGTAGTGAAAGCAACAAAGGTGCTTGATTTATGGGGCATTGTAAGTTGGAGAGAAGTGAAGATCTTTTTATGGGAAAGACTCAATCTTGAGCTTTAAGATTTACTGCTTACTCAATGTTCTGTCAAGGCAGGCTTTGTAGTTATTCGTGGAGACCGAAAGGATTAATCATTAAGGTCGAGCTTACATTTCAAAGAACGAGAGCCTATTGGAGTATGGGGTTGGTTGAGAGAGAACCTAAAGATCTGTTATTGAGTAGATTAATACTGTAATAGCCATCACTCGCTGATGGTAGGCAATAAATCCTAGAACCATGAATTAGGTTGGAAATACTGGCTGTAATATCTCTCGATGAAGGGTTTTGCTGTACTGAACATGCTTAGTAGTGCAATCTCCAAAGATATGAATAGTCACGTTATTCATAGTTGTAAGCATATATTTATAAGCATATCACCTGTAATCTAACTTCTTAAGCTCACAGTTGCATGAAAAATATGTTGTTTTTAACCAACATTTTCAAATATAAATAGCTATATGTTGCGAATTAAGATTCAAAAACTCAAAAAGGCGAATTTCTTCAAGAGCTTTACTATCTCATTAAGCTTTGGACATCGTCAACCATTTAGCAACTATTCTCAGTCATGTTGATAAGGTTAAAAAATCAAGAGAGGTTAGAGTTAAGATCCATGTTTTTAAATTGATCACCCATGCAAACTCATATACTCTAGCATTCAAATAAGCCCACCAGGTGAGGTCAACTAAAACCATGTTTATTTCTCTGTCTAGCGATTTTTCTACCTACCTATCACATGCCTATTAAAGGAAAGCTTTTTTGGAGCTAATTTCTTTGCTCGTTCATGAAAATAAGGCATGGTTATACATCATTATTTTCATCATTGATTCATTGCTAGGATCACCTTGACTTTGGTGCATAACTGAATTAAAGAAAGGTCTATAGAGGAATTTACAAAGATTTTGTGACCAGTTGGCAACAGGTGTTCATCTGTCTGGCACCAAATATGCTAAAGAGGAAAATAAGATCAACTTGTATTTCATATATGACTTTACACGTGTATTTCCATGGGAAACTTTGCTCTCTGTNTGCAATTATGAAGTTTATTTTCTTTCTCTTGCATTTCACTTTCAGTTGTTTAATTCGTGGTCGTCTTGTTTCATGTGTGCACTAGTATTTCGGGGTCTTGGATAGTTTTTTATGGGATGTTAAGTGGCTTCCCTTTTCTTTTGTTTATTTGAACATCTTGTCCTGTGTGTTCTACTTGATAATATGTTATTGTAATTAGATATCAACAAATGATGCAAATTTGCTTTCTTTCATAGGTCTGGCATTTTAGGCGTCTAGTTCTTGAGGCACTGAATGTTGATTTATGTCTTGAAAGGGATTTTATTGATCGTCTTGCTGTGAGAAACTCCAAGAATTATCAGATCTGGTGAGGAGACTATAGCAGCCATATGCCTGTTTGTGAAATTGCTATGGATATTTATTAACTATAATGTAAAATGCATGTTGCATAATAATCGGGGCAAGATCATAGCATGTCCTAATCGTTTATAATATACCATGCAGGCATCATCGGCGGTGGGTTGCAGAGAAACTGGGAACAGAAGCTTCAGAGAGGGAGCTGGAGTTTACTAAGAAGATACTTGATCTTGATGCTAAAAATTACCATGCGTGGTCGCATAGGCAGGTGCATGAGTAGTTTCAGCAACTTTATCTTCAAAGAATAAGATTTTGTCAATACAACAGTTACATGGTTATATGTATTTAACCAGCTATATCATGCAGTACTCCTAAATACTCATAGATTGTGCACAGGAGAAGTGAGGACCTACAAGAAATTTGAGCTTATTCCTTCTGTTAAAGATATGAAAATTCTAGGTACTAGATGGTACAGGAAATGATATAATTATTTATGTTTACCTGATCAAATCATGACTGGAGAGAATTTAATCCATGACAGTTATATCTCAATTCTTGCATGACGACGTTGGCTAATAGGTGAAATATGATTATGCAGTGGGTGCTTCAGGCCTTAGGCGGATGGCAAAATGAGCTTGCTTACTGTGACAAGCTGCTTCAGTATGACATTTTCAATAACTCAGCATGGAATCAGGTATTAGTCCTTCTTTTCTCTGGTTGTTTGACATGATATCTTGCTGCTTGATAGGATGCCTACACTTGACTTCTCTTAACAACTTTGGGCCTTATGTTACTCTAGACTTTTAATTCATGATACTTGTTTTTACTAACTTGAATGTGTTACATACCTCGATGTCTATTATGGTCAGAAACTCGAAATATTAAGCTTGCAAATGGGATTGTTTTGCCAAATCACAATTCCATATCTTTGGCTTTTGCAAGTGTGTATGTTAGTACTCTTCTTAGAAATTTGTGTTTGAGTGTATCTTATCACCATGTTTTTAGATTGTATTCTATCATTATACAAACCTCATGAATTCACTATGTTTTTTGCTTCACGATTGAATGACCGTGAGTATCATCTGAGAATTCTTAATTGACTAGTTGCTAAGAGACTCTTACAAGGGATTATCTTGATCTACACCAGTGGATTGATAATGGTTCTCAAATCTTTAAGGAGAGATTGTGAGACCATGAATGCTATAGAAAACAAATATGTCTGAATAAGTTATTTAACCGCAGCGGTAAAAGCCAGCTCTTCAATTAACTCTTCATTCTTTAATTAAACGAGGAGTCAATAATAGTATAATACACTCCAGGATTTTGAAGCTGCGACCACTCAATAGCAGACCTCTTAACTGAGGAACCTCAAAGTAGCTTTGCATGAACATAGGACACAAGTTTGAAGTGTTTGGTTGTCCTGAAGTGTCCGACATGGGAACTTCTTGAACACGTACGTAACGACTAACCACTTAAATAAATTAGACCAGAGTCCTACAAGATAACCTTAGTCATAATCTAATAATAATATCTTGCACACAGAAACTACTTCAAGATGGCAATAAGTTGTGACACTGTAGTAGTTTTATCATTTAAAGTATTATATTGGAGGTAGTGTCTGACACGTCACAAGACCTAAAATTCGAAGTGTCCTGGTAGTACTATCTCAAGGTAGTTCTATACACCATCTCCTTTTCTAGTTTCTACACTAGTCTTCCTAGTGCATGCAATGCATACATGGTCAGATACACTTGCGCATAACAATTTGTTGAAGTATAGAAATATATGTGGAAATTTTTTTAAATGTTATGAAAATTTTTAAAAGATATCTTATAAATTATAATCAAATGTAAGCATAAAAAAGATGAAGAATTTCATGTATTTAGTGCAGTCACTTACTTTTCGTCTAGGTTGCACAAGTGCGTGTGCGACTGTGCGGACACGGGACATGACAAATTTGTAAAATGTAGGATACGGGGACACGTATAGAATCAGAAATAGGAACAAGAGGAGGTCCGTAGTGTCGAACAGAGAAGATCCAACTTCAAGTTGAGCTCTGACTGGCGTCTTCTTCGTTCCTTGTGTTTGGAGAAGAGAGAGAAACAAACAGGAACGCGCTTGACTTAACAGGACACCTGTGCATAAAAAAAGGAAACAAAACATGTGGATGTTTTCTGAAAGCTTTAATCTTGTATATTGGGTTATTGGGTTTAAAAACCTTAAACCTTTTGGTTTAACCTGATACCCAAAAGAACCCATCATTAGAGCTTGTTGGACTTTTTTTTGTGTGGGATCCACTGGTTTAAAAGAAGGATTGGGATCCTCTACTCATGCATAGTGATTCCTAATATTTGCTAATGCATCTCTACCCTTCATTGTGTGGACCCCACCTTCCACTTTGTACTCATCCACACAATGAAGGGTGGTGATGCATTAGCAAACATTAGGAATCACTATGCATGAGTAGAGGATCTCAATCCTTAAAAGAAAAGGTACCCAAAAGAACCCATTATTGCATGATTGGGTTTCTTTTTTTTTGGGTCCACTCGTGAGGAAAAGTTGTGTCCGACGTGTCTTGAGCTTGTCTGCACCCGACATGTGCATGTATGGTCCGATACACTCGTGCATAACAATTTGTTGAAGATAGAAATAAATGTTGAATTTTTTTTGAAGGTTATGAAAATTAAAAAAGATATCTTATAAATTATAATCAAATGTAATCATAAAAAATATGAAGAATTTCATGTATTTAGTGTAGTCACTTACTTTTCATCTAGGTTGCACAAGTGTGTGCGCGGACGCGGGACATAACAAATTTGTAAAATGTAGGATACAGGAACACGTATAGAATCAGAAATACGAACAAGAGGAGGTATTGTAGTGTCGAATAGAGAAGATCCATTCTCAAGTTGAGCTCTGACTGGCGTCTTCTTCGTTCCTTGTGTTTGGAGAAGAGAGGGAAACAAACGGGAACGCGCTTGACTTAAGAAACAGGACACCTGTCCATGAAAAAGGAAAACAAAACATGTGGATATTTTCAGAAAGCTTTAATCCTGTATATTGGGATATCACATTCAAAAACCTTTAAACTTTTGGTTTTAACTTGATACCCAAAAGAACCCATCATTAGAGCTGTTTGGGCTTTTTTTGTGTGGGATCCAAAAGAATCCATTATTGCATGATTGGGTTTCTTTTTTTTTGTGGGTCCACTTGCAAGGAAAAGTTACGTCCAACGTGTCTTGAGCGTGTCTGCACCTGACATGTGTTAGACACGGTTGCGGCCCTTGATTTGCCAAGTCAGGGTAACCCAGCTTTTCATAATCTTTTTTATTATATCTTAACGTATCACGTCACAATAAACTCACTAGTTAAAAGAAGTTATCCAATGAACTCACTAGTTAAAAGAAGTTATCCAAAAGATCATGTTGCATTCCAATTTTAAGTGCTGTTGAGAATTTGGCATGAGAGAAAAATTAAGATTTGTCCTACAAAGATTAAGAAGAAAAAGTTATCTAAAGAACAGATCGGAGTGAGACGTGAATCAAGAATGAACACGTACGTAATTACAAAGTAATAATACTCCGGTGTACACAATGCGTGTATGACAGAGAACACTTATGTATAATTAAATTCTGTTAACATTGATAATGGATGCTAACACAAATAAGTGTATAAATGTAGACAAAGTAATTCCAAAACACAATAAAAGTATATGACACTATACAAATTAATAATGTCCTATAGACAAATCAAGAATCACTCCCCATAGATAGAAAAACTCCACATCATCTTAGAAAAACTCCACATCATCTTATTCTTCTCTCTTAACCCTATATGCTGTAGTTTTTTGGAGCTTGGGCGATTCATTTGATTTTAACGCGTGGCTATTGGGGTAGTTACAGAACGTGGGGTTACTTGATTTTTTCCATATTTACCTCAAAGTTTTTTCCTAGTTGCACATAGATTTTGAGGCATTTTTTGGTTTTTTTGAAGATGAGGCTCACATGAACGTGGGGACTGAGGAGGGTCAGTGGACTTTTTCCGAGTTTGACCTCAAACTACTTTCCTAGTTGTATATAGATTTTGAGGGTATTAGCGGATTTCTTTGATAATGAGGCTTACAGGCTCAAAACTAGGGCTTTGTTTAAATAGTAGTACACATAGATATAGATTACAAATTAAGGGATTTTAATGAAGAAAAGAAAATGCTGTACCTCTGTTTCTTATTATCTCCAAGGACAAAAGCAAGAGAGTCAGACTTGAGGTGCTGCTAAAAGTACGTGGAACATCTGTTTTTACTTTTTTTTTTTAATTTTGTCTACGTTTGTTCCTCAGTTTAATTAAAAGGATTTTTTATAAGCGTCAAAAAGGATTTTAAGTGGTCAGGGGTAGTTTTTGGAATCTTGAAAGTTGAAAACGTGATCTGTAGAACATGTTTTTTTTAACTTATTAAAAACATTGCTTATTGTTTTTATTTTTGCATTTTTACGAATTTGTCCATCAGATGAGTTAGGAAGGAATTTAAGTTATGAGGGTAGCTTCGGACTTTTGAAAATTGACACACATGACCAAAAACAAGGCTGGTCTCAAATATATATATAGTACGAGATATGTCAAGTTAAGAAAGCATGTAATATTCAAACTCAATAATTGAGAACAAAAAAGAAGGGGGTTCGATTATGTGCTTTGCATCTGTTTTCTTTTCGTTTCTGACTTTGATTCTGCCTTGTTTGCTTTTACCTGACAGATATTCTTTGTGCACTTACTATTTTGTTACAGAGGTACTTCGTGATCTCAAGATCTCCACTTCTAGGAGGCCTTCGAGCCATGCGAGAATCTGAGGTAGGTTATACAATCTTAGCAATCTTAGCAAACCCTGAGAATGAAAGCCCATGGAGATACCTACGAGGCTTGTACCAAGGCGAGACTGAACTTTTAGTAAGTGATAATCAAATCTCAGAAGTTTGTCTCAAGATCTTGAAGACCAATCAGAGCTCCGTATTTGCTCTCGGCCTTCTGTTGGATCTCCTTTGCTATGGCTTTCAGCCTTCTGGTGAATTGAGGGGTGTTATTGAAAGTTCAAGAAATCTTGAAGCCGGATCTGCAGATTCCAATTTAGCGACGAGCATTTGCTCTATTTTGGAGGCTGTTGATCCTATGAGATCCAACTATTGGGGATGGCGCAGGAGCCGTATCTCTTCTCAGGTTTGTTGAGGTGGTCAAGAACCTGTACTGGTGTTCATTACTTCAGCTGTTCTTTATGGGCTTCCATGATTCAGCGATTAATATTTGCTCTTTGAGTGTGGACTTTTTAAACAATGAAATTGAAATATGTATGTTCATGGAAAATGTGATTGGACTTGGGGATATAATTTAATACTCATATGTAGCAGCATTAATTTGAAATGTGATTTTTATATTCCTGACTATCTTACGCCAGTTTATTTATTTATTGGATGAAGTTGCAGGGCCTAAAGTTAAGTGTTTTGCCTTATCGTGCTTGTGGTATGTCATCATTGACCATTGTGGAGGTTGAAACTCGCATATTGTTGTACTTAAACGTAAGTTATATTAATGGGTAGCTTATATATCCTATTATAATAATAGAAGCTAGATTGCGGCCTAATGTTTTCA